CATGTAAAAGGCATGACATGGAAGACCCCGGGAACGTGGGCAGGAAGTGAGGTGTCATCATCAGCATGGATGTTTTGTGACTGAGTGCAAGTATGTAGGACAAATACTTGGCTGAGGAGGATCCCTTCCCTTGCTCTCCACCCCGGCTGGGTATGTTGGAAAGAATTCTGGGCCACCACCACCACCTCCACCACCATTAGAATATCAATAACACGTTCTTCAGGGAACATCCTGAAAGTCCTCCCACCCAACTCATCACCAAGTTCTCAGTCTTAGACAAAGGGTCTAGCAAGAGTTAGTGAGAAATTCCTCTCAAACCTCCTGCTCTAGCCTCTCCCAGCCCAGATTCCTCTCTTTCAGTGAGCTGCACCATGGGGCAGGAGCATTCTGGGAACCCGACTTACTCACCTGCTCCATTCAGAGGCAGGACTCTTACCCTCCAAGCATTGCTCAATGCTAATGGTCATCACTGATGAGTGGTTTTCAAATTTGTGACAAGTGGGAAATTTACTCAGATTTTATTTTATAAAACTTAACATGATTGAAAAGTAGTTTCCCCATTGCTCCTCAGAAGATGGATGATCTAGCTTTGAATTCTGGTGCTTCCAGCTCAGGGAAGTGGGGTACTTGATTGAGGGGGTACGGCAAAGACTCTTGGAGAAGGTGGCATTTGAGCTGAGACCTGAGTGAGGCAAAGGAGCTAGCATGTAAAGAGATGGAGAAGGACATTCCAGAGGAAGGGAACAGTGGGTACCCAGGCCTTGAGGCAGGAAAAACTTCGGAGTGGTCAAGAAACAAAAAAATGAGCATATCTGGAACTCAGCGTGTGGCCAGCAAGCAAGGAATGGAGGGGCAGCTAATGAAGATGGGGAGGCAGGTGGGGCAGAGGCTGCAGGACCTCAGCTTTCCATTTATAAATGCAGGTAATAGCCATCCTGCTAAGACTGTAGATAGCTGAGGGAACATTGCTAACTGAGACACTATTACAAGTCTAGGTCACATGGTCTTGGCAATATTTCTCCAAGGACTAGTGGGACACCTCAGTACAAGGCTCACTGTGGGCTGCATTGTTTTCCTGACTTTCCTATCACCTGATAGGCAAATGAGCAAATGGCAAAACCAAAAAAGCTACTGGTGTGGTGAGAGTGCCCTTCTTGTGGCCATCTTGTAATTAGCATGTAAGTTGTCATTTTTTTTTTTAATCCTCATCTGAGGACATGTGTACTGATTTTAGAAAGAGGGGAAGGGAGGGAGAGAAAGAGAGAAACATCGATGTGAGAGAGAAACATGGATCGGTTGCTTCCCATACAAGCCCCGACCAGGGACAGAACCTGCATCCTAGGTAGGTGCCCTGACCGTGAATCAAACCCGTAACCTTTTGGTTTATGTGGTGATGTTCCAACCAACTGAGCCACACTGGCCGGGGCTCACACGTGGGTTTTCAGTGAGGAGCTCAGACAGGCATGTGATCACTGCCATCTCTAGCACCATCATCTTAGAACTGCAAGAGCCGAGGAAGGCCTGAGAGAATTGAACCTGACGTCAGACCTTTTCCGAGCAGCCCACTTTTCATACTGTCTGCAGGAGGTTAGTCCTCCCTCTGTCCATGTTTTGTGGCACAATGTGTCCTCTGACCAAAGCAAAGCTCACTTATCTTTGCACAATTTTTCAAAAACACATAAGGCTCTTCTTTCAACAATAGAGCCCAGGAAAGGTGGAGAGGGAGACAACCTTATTTCTGTTGTAAGGCTGACGAGGCACTGAATAATCCCAGGTGAAAAATACCATGGGCTTGCTTTGTCCTTCAATCTAGAGCTTACAGTCAGGCAATCATATTTAAGCTCTGGTTCCTAGGCTATGTACGTATCTCTTTTAACAATTACATGAGCACTTCAGAGATGTGATAACTGTCTCCCCTGCAGTCTAAGCACAGCCATGTCCCAAGAGCTGCTTTGAGAGGAAACTCACTGTTTCCTTCTCATGCATGGCTTCTGAGCCACATGGTGTGGCCCATTCTGCGTCTTTATACCACTTTTATGCTACTTTATACTACTTTCAAGTCCACTGCTTCCGCTTTACTTTCTGGCCTGGCCTTGCCCTTGGACCCTGGTGATCAGGTTTATTTATTCTGCCAACGCTGGGGCTCCCTCTCAACCCTGAATTCTAGTCCTTTGTAATTTGACTTGTGCCTGGGACCCCATCAGCCTTGGTGTGCTCCCACCATGGGCAATTCCACTGGGCCTCTGGGGGCCCCACAAGCAAGAACTCACATGCAGAATTACCCAGTTGGTCACTTGGTCTGCCCCAGGACACACTGAATTCATACTCCAGGCTGTGGCATCTTCCTCTAGCTCTAAGGGAATGCATTCACTCAATGTCCACACAAATTATCTGGCACTGTCCTGGGTTGGGATTACAAGGAAAGGGGGTGGGCTTGCCATAACAGAGAGAAAACAGACGACTTTGAGAAATTGGAGTTCAAAGTAAAGCTGCATCAGTTAGTCATGTGACCTTGGGAAAATTCCTTGACTTTTTGAGCCTCAGTTGTCTCATCTGTGGAATGGAGATAATTACTACCTTACATGGCGATGGGTGACTTAGAATATTCAGTGAGGTAAAGTATTTAAAACACTTGGCATTCAGCAGATGATGAATGAAAGATAGCTATGTGCAAACACCGGCATATCCACAGATACACTGGTCTATTTTTAAAAGAAAACAAACCCCAAACATAAGCCTTAAATGTTAAGAAATTACCTAATGTTTCTCCAACTTTCCCCCCCCGTGTCCTCTTCTTCCTTCTCCCTGTCTACGAGCATGTAACTGGTACATATCAAATGAGGTAGCCAATGTGGAATTGTTAACTTATTGGCAAACAAGCTTTCTAAAACGGGGCTCCCATCACTGCGTGCGCCCGTGGCTGTGTGTGCTTGTGCGCATCTGGTGAAATTAACAAGTGATCTGTGTGACACTAGGCGGGGCCCTTTTGTCTGTATTCTCCTATTTGCTTTTGTTTTTAAATTGTAAAAACACAAAACATAAAACTTGTGGCCTCCACAATTTCTACGAGCAAGTTTAGCATGTAGAAACATCCTCACCTGTTGTGCAACCAGTCTCCAGAAATTTCTCACCTTGCAAAACTGAAACTCTCTACACCCATTAAACACCTTCCAACTTCCCCATCCTCCCCAACCCGGCAGCCACCACTCTCCCGTCAGTCTCTGTGAACTGGGCTGCTCTAGGTGCCTCACAGAAGTGGACTCATACAGAATTTGTCTTGTCAACTGGCTTGTGTGGTCTCCTGGGTGACCCTCACAACCAGCCTGTGAGACATGCTTTGCTATTATTCCTACCTCATGACGGAGAGGAGATGAAATACCAGGGGCATAAGATATCATGCACAGGCAGGAGCCAACTCGTGTTCAAGTTGGGGTGTACAGGTATATGTACATGAGTATATACTGAAAGTTGTGTATAAAAATAGGCAACATACACTTATGTACATGTTGAAATCTCTCCTCACATATAAATAGTCACTTGTTTATAAACATATAACTGTAAGTGGCATCATTTTAAGAGGGAAGAATTTTTTGGTTCCCAATCTGTCCTGTGCGATTGTCGTGAACTTAGAAATAAAGAACATAAAGTAGTCCCTAGTTACTGCCACACTTTGCAAGTTTATTTGGGGAAATCTATGTAGTTGATGGAAAGAATGTAGGCATGGGAGCTTCAACCCTTATGGTACTAGCTGGGGAGCTCAGGTTTCCCTGTCCATTCTCTTTCAGGTGATAATACTTACTCTCTAGGGTAGCTCAGAGAATCTTGGAGGCTGGTATATTTGAGGGTCCAGCCCTGGCTCTTTCTTATTCCTACTTCCACACCATGCCCATCTCAGGAATTCCTTCCTGCCTCTGTGTGCTGGGTTTTAACAAAGGCTTGCCTTCCTTCCTTCCTCCCTTCCTTCCTTCCTTCCTTCCTTCCTTCCTTCCTTCCTTCCTTCCTTCCTTCCTTCCTTCCTTCCTTCCTTCCTTCCTTCCTTCCTTCCGCCATCTCTCCCTCTTCCCTCCTGTCCTTTGTCCTTCTATCTTTCTTCCCTCTAAGCTAAATGGTCCCATCTCTTGTGCCTGTGAAAGAATTCACTAAGAAATTTAATTCCACTTTCAGGCCAACTCCAGAACTCCCACTGCTGTCAGGGAGATTTCTAGGCCTTTAATGAGGGGAGAATTTGATCCTAAGACTCCTGTTAAGATAAAGGCCTGGTTGCTTTATTAACTCTATCCAGCTGGGGTACCAACTCACAGAGAAATAATTAAACACTCCCAGTCTAAGAAAGGTCAGGTCTCAGAGAAAACCTGGCCTGGATATTGTGAGAAAGGAAAGAAGGGTGATTATTTACCTCTCTACCAGGAATCATTTATTGAGAAACTAAACCTGATCTTTTCCTTTCTGGAAGAATGCTTTTCCTCTCTCCTCCACAACTCTGGACTTTATCTTAAAGTGCATCTTTACTCATTCAGCTGTCAACAAAACGTTGCTGCCACCAATCCAATGCCAACAGGTGTTCCCCATCTGAGGTGCGGTAAAAAGAGACTCTTCAGGTAAATAGTTTGCAAACTGGGGAAATGCAGCCTCAGGTGGAAACTGGCACTATGCTCTCCCAAGATAAATGGGGGACTTGTTTATAATGGGGGGGCCCAAAAAACCCATAATGATGGGCCCCTTATAATATAGGCTCCCCCAGCTGGGTGAGCATTCTAGAAACCCATCTCGATCAGTGTACCAGCTGGTGTTGTTGTGAGAGGCTGAATTCAGCTTCAGTGAATTTTTTGGAAGACTCTTTAAATGCATTTACCTATTTTGATGATGAGTGACTTATGAGCACACCTGCCCACTCCATGCCGAGTGTTCAGCAGTTTTTGAACAAAAACAGCATGACCTCCATGCCTCACCTTCCCTGTTCACCTGATCTTGCCTCAAGCACCTTGTATTTGTTTCCCCAGATGAAAAAACTCCTCAGATGGAACCATTTTGCCAATGCAGAAGAGGTCAAACGAAAAACAACAGAAGCACTGAAAGTCATCAAAATCGATGAGTTCGAAAACTGTTTTTTTCTTTCAAAATTTCTTTTCTTTTCAAAATTTTAATATATTTTATTGATTGTACTATTACAGTTGTCCCATTTCCCCCCCCTTTATTCCCCTCAGCCCTGTATTCCCCCCTCCCACCACCATTCTGCCACCCTAGTTCATGTCCATGTGTCACACATATAAGTTCTTTGGCTTCTCCATTTCCCATACTATTCTTAACCTCCCTCTGTCTATTTCCTACCTACCATTTACGCTTCTTATTCCTTGTACCTTGTCCCTTATTCTCCCCAATCCTCCTCCCCATTGATAATCCTCCATGTGATCTCTATTTCTGTGAACCTGTTCTAGTTGTTTGCTTCGTTTGTTTTTGTTCTTTAGGTTCAGTTGTCAATAGTCATGAGTTTGTTGTCATTTTATTGTTCATAGTTTTGATCTTCTTTTTCTTAGATAAGTCCTTTTAACATTTCATATAATAATGGCTTGGTGATGATGAACTCCTTTAACTTGACCTTATCTGGGAAACACTTTATCTGCCTTTCCATTGTAAATGATATCTTTGCTGGATAGAGTAATATTGGATGTAGGTCCCTGATTTTCATGACTTTGAATACTTCTTTCCAGCCCCTTCTTGCCTGTAAGGTCTCTTTTGAGAAATCAGCTGATAGTCTTATGGGAACTCCTTTGTAGGCAACTCTTTCCTCTTGCTGCTTTTAAGATTCTCTCTTTATCTCTAGTCTTGAGTAACTTAATGATGATGTGCCTTGGTGTGTTCCTCTTTAGGTCCAGCTTCTTTGGGACTCTCTGATCTTCCTGGACTCCTGGAAGTCTATTTCTTTTGCCATACAGGGGAAGTTGTTTTTCATTATTTGTTCAAATAAGTTTTCAATTTGTTGCTCTCCTCTTCTCCTTCTGGCATCCCTATGATTCGCACGTTGGAATGTTTAAAGTTGTCCCAGAGGTTCCCGAGCCTCTCCTCATTTTTTGAATTCCTGTTTCTTCATTCTATTCTTATTGAATGTTTATCTCTTTTTTCTGCTCCAAACCATTGATTTGAGTCCCAGTTTCCCTCCCTTCATTCTCGGTTCCCTGTGTATATTTTTTATTTCACTTTGCATAGCCTTTACTTCTTCCTCTATTTTACGACCATAGTCAACCATTTCTGTGAGCATCCTGATTACCAGTGTTTTGAACTGTGTGTGATAGGTTGGCTATCTCTTGATAACTTAGTTTTATTTTTCTGGAGCTTTGATCTATTCTTTTATCTGGGCCGTTTTTGTTGTTGTTGTTGTTTCAGCCTGCCTGTTACATGGTAAGGGGCAGAGCCCTAGGTATTCACCAGGAAAGAGCAACCCACATCACTGTGTTGTGGTGCTGTATGTGGGGGAGGGTTCTGAGAATGAACAGTGCCGCTTGCTCAGCTCTCTGGCTTTCAGTCACTTCCTCTGTTACCCACAAGAAAATTGGGCCCTTCTGGTGTTGATTCCTGAGTGGGTGGTTTTGTGTATGTTCTAGGACCCTGGGGGTCTCTCCAACAAACTCTCCTGTAAGGCTGGAGTTTCTCCTGTCACAGCAACCCCCACAAGTTTTTTCAGTCAGAGGTTTTGAGGCTTTATTTAGCTGTGTTGGAATCCTGGGTATGCAGTTTGTCTTGCTCCCCAGTTGTTCTTCCTGGTTTATCTGTAAGCCAGTGTGGGACCACCCACTCTTCCAGCCACCACCTTGTCTGCCCTGGTCCTCTAACCCCTGCCTTGCTGTGAGTCCTCTCCACTCTGTCTGCCCATCTCTGCCCCTCCTACAGGTCTGGGTGAATGTTTCTTCTTTAGCTCCTTGGTTGTTGGACTCCTGTACTGTTCAATTTTCCGGCAGTTCCGGTTATGTCTTGTTTTTAAATTTGTTGTTGTCTGCCTTTTGATTGTGTAAGGAGGCAAAGTGTATCTCCCTACACCTCCATCTTGGCCAGAAGTCCCCAAAACTGTTTTAAGCAGTTGAAAAATGTCTCAGTAGGTTATTGCATCAAATGGAGAGTGCTTTGAAGGTGACTGAAGTTTAAACATATAAGAATAAACACCCAATCTTTTTATATTTAAATAAATTTCACTTTGGGTCCCCCCTTGAATATAAAGTACTTGCCATGGTGATCTCTGGTCCATTTTTATGCAAATTTGCAGTTTGATCAGTCCACATAGCACTGTCCTGATTGTTCAGAATGTCGCATCCTGACTGATTATTATGGAGTCACTCTGATTGGTCAGTAAAGGTACAAATGGGGGACATAGCCTTGCAGGTCCAATTGGCTGGGGCAGGTCGAAGGATGATTCCAGGGACTCCTTTAGAGGGGTTGGATTAGAAGGCAGGAATATAGCGCAGGAGGCTTGGTAGCCTAATCTGTGGCTTTTCCCTGAAATGCAGCATGTGTGAGAGGCCTCCTGTAAATAACAGCTGCTGGACTCTAATTATGAATTTGGGCCCAATTAACCACAATAAGTCCTTTTTGACAGGTATATTTCTTCTTGGGGTCAACACAACAAATATTTATTGAGTACCTACTATGTGCCGGATACTATGTTAAGTTTGGGGTGAGGACTGGGGTACTTAGAAGATATCCAGCTCATTAATACCATTTTATATTAAAAGAGATGAAGGCCCAGAGAAAAGTAACTAATCTAGGATAAGAGACATAGTCAGGACCTGTTCCTACTGTCACCGCCATAAAATAATTCCTCATCCCAGGCAACTCTGACCCCCTCCTGTCTCCTCCCACACTCCCTGATCTCTCCTTTTTGTAGCTGGCACCTCAGAGTTTTTACTGTGCAAGTGCACTGCAGATGTAACCATTCCTATGCCCATCTTACCTTACTGCAGGTAAACAGTTTATTAAAATACATGAAGTTCAATGAATACAGCGGGATAAGGGAAGACTTTGTTCCAAAGGAAGAATTTAAATTGTCTTAGAAGGAAGAGAGCAGTGCTCAGGAGAGAGATGAAGGGTTAGATAGGGGCCTGTGTTGTGTGTATAGGTCGCTAAGGAAGGAGGTGATAACCTGAGTGAACACTGATAAAAAACCCAGTATGTTTGACTGGTCATTTGAAGGCCTGAACTTGAAGGCGTATTCATGAGGCAGGCAAGTGGGGAGGAAGACGGAAAGGGATGGCCCTGAGCTTGTTGTGGGGTGATAGAGTTCAGATAGTTATTCTATTAATTTGCTAGCTGTGTGACTTTAGGCTAGTCACTTACCTCAGCTTGTTCACTCTTCTGTTATGCTAACCGCTGCTAGGGGGCTGCAAGCCTCAAGTGCAGCTACACAGGTTGACAGCACATGGCCCATTCCCAGCTGGCTCTAGGTGTGCAGGACAAATTAGTGTCATCTTTCAACAGTGGAATGTTCTGCTTTGTGGGTTTGTAATGCAAGATCTATAAGGCAGCTAAAGGTTAATCATGAAGCATAAAATGGTAAACTTAGAGAGTTTGAACAGTGCCTCTAAGCCAGAAGATGTTGGAGGTTTGGGAGAAGTGAACAAATTATCCTTTCGTTTGCTTTTGTCTGTTCTTTTGTTTTTAGGAAACTGTGGTCAGGACATGTAAGAAATAGGAATCCGGAGGCAGATGGGGTGGGGAGTTGCTTAAAGGACTGAAATAAGAAGAGAAATTCCCTAAAACAATGTGCAAATTACTGGAGAGGAAAGGTAGAAACAAATTAGAAAAGAACAACAATAATTAAGATCCCTTGAGTACTTGCTATGTACCAGGTACTATTCTAAGAACTTTAAAGACTTAACACATTTAATATATCAAGTGTATTAACTTGTCCTGTATTCACAACATATCTCTGATGAAAATCATTCTCAACACCATTAGGAGGTGGGGAAACTGAGGCACTGAGCGGTTAAGGTGCAAAAAAGGCATGTCTCTCTTCCTATGCACTTTCAGAATGGGTTTTTAAAAATTTTTAAATGTGTGGGTGTTTCCTTTTAGAATATTTTAGACTATTTTCTCCACAACTTGCAGGTATTGTAGTAATGTGCATTAATGGATATCCTGAGCGTATTCCCCTTTGTCTTTATAATGATAATTTTAATGGTGGTCTAATATTTTATTGAATGGCTATATCAAGCTATTTTTTGCTGCTCGCACGAACATTTTGGGACATAAATCTTTGACAACACCGCTTATCATGTTTTAAAGATACATTTCCTGATGTTGAATTCCTGAATGAGATGAAGTAACCATTTTCATGGATCTTAACTCATATTGCCAATTTGCTTTTCCCACAGGGTTGGACATATTCACAGTGTCCTTGACAATGTAGAAGGTTATCACTTTCACCACATACTTGCCAGCATTAGGTATTATTATCATTATTGGTAGGTTTATTGGGGAAAATATGGTCAACCACTTCAATTAAAATTTGCATGTCTTTAATTATTATTGGGGTTGATCATTTTTCTTCATGTGGAATTGATACTTGTGGTTCTTCTTTAATGATATTGTGTGTGTGTGTGTGAAAGCAATATTTTCAAAGCAAAAATCTGCATGTCAGGAAGAGTGACACATATAATGAAGGAAGCTTCCGAGCCTGGCAAACCGGGAGAAAGGCCGTGCCCTGACCTTCCTGACACAGGGCGAGGGCGGAGCCCCTAGTGAACTCTGTGCCCCCAGTGGCCGCGCTGTTCGAGGAAAAGGGGAGGCTGCCGTCTTCTGGCTATTTTCTCCTTCCTTTTTATGAGACAAGTAAAATACCTTCACTACAAAAAAAAAAGGAAGATTAAAAAGAAAAATCATCCATATTGCCACCATTCAGAAATAAGCTCTTTATTATTTTATGAAATATGCTTACAGAATCTCTCTCTTTTAACTATCAACCATGTATACTATGCACACACACACCCCTCTGTGTAATGGCATCTACTTTGAGCTCTTATCCTCCCAACAAGGTGTTTCTGGCTCCTACCTATCCCTCCTCTTTCATTCTCTCTTATCACTGAAATGATCTAGCCTTTTTTTCATTCCCTTATTCACACTCGCTTAACAGGCCCTAGACCTTGGGGTCACAACTTTAACGTCCTAGGGGAATTATGTCTGACTCTGAACCAAGTGGTAGAGTTGCCTGCAGTTATTTCTGTTGTTTGTTTTTTAAACCAGATCCTATTTGCTGCCATGTCCTTTTAATTGACAGAGGACAGCTTGGCTTGATTCAGAAGTAGGCACATGAGCTACATCTTTTGTGTGTGCTATGCACGTGATCACTTTGGTGCAACTTTAGTCGATTTTCTCCAAAGATGTGATGAAAACGTCCATATGGGGCTGACCTCATTATTTCTGTGATTAAAGAATTACAGTTTCAAGGGCACATTTCTTCATAGGCCCACTTTATGAACGAGGAGCCTCATTCTTTTCTGAAAAAAGTGAGAGTGAGCTGGGCGGATAACCATAGGAAATACATTCCAGGCAGGGGGCACAGCAGCTGTGAGCTGAGAGGTGGGAAGGTGCGAGTGGGAGGCCCAGTGAGGAGGGGTGTGCAGGATTGCTTGGGCTGGCATGAATGGGAGACAGCATGGTGGGAGAAGAGGGGAGAGAAGTGCTGACAGTTTAGAGCCCTGTAGGATATTCTAAGGACTAGCTTATACTGAGTGAAAAAGGAAATCATGGAAGAATTTGAATAGAAAACTGATACATGATCTGATTTTATAAAGTATCACCACGCTGCTGAGTGAGAAACATCTATAAAGGGGCAGGGGTGGAAGCTGGAAATCCAGCTGGGAGGCGACTTCAGCAATAACCCAAGCAAGGGGTGATGGAGGCTTGGATCTTGGGGGCAATGGGGTAGGTGGTGAGAAGAGGTGGAACTGCAGAAGGTGGAGCAGGCTTTGCTGATGGATGGGAAGTGGGTGTGAAAGTACAATAGGACTTGAAAGTCTTGTACCCACACAACGAGTACAATGGAGTTGCCATTTACTAAAATGGGAAAGTCAGGGAAGAGCAGAAATCAAGAGTTTGGTTTAAGGCAAATTCACTTTGAGATGTCCATTACATGGTCTAGTTGAGATGTTAGGTATGGATTTAAATATTTGGGTTTTGGGGAGAGGTCTTAGACAGAGTATTATTTAAGTATTTTGGCATATACATAGTATTTAAAAACCATGAGTAAGATCATTAAAGAACTGTGAGCATAGAGAGAAAATAAAAGGTCCCTGAGGACTAAGCTATCCAGCATTTCAAAGTGGCACAGTGAGGGGGACCTATTGCAGAGGAGGAAATTGGAGCTTGGGGAGTTAAGCAATTTGCTTCCCAGTGAGTAGCAGAGATGGGAATCCAAGCTCCATGAGTCTGATCCCTTAGCACTACTCCAACTGCCGAGCAAAGAGGTCTCTTCCTGGAGTCATAATACATGGGTGGCTTGCCAGGGCCTCCCCTCTAACTAGGCTGGGACAGCAGGCTATGCCCTCAGGTGTGAGCAAATGACACTTCACACACTGGTAGAACCAGATGACACATCCATCAGCTCCACCTGGTGTAGTACTCAGGGATCTCAAGGGAGGAAGAAAGAGCTGGTAATTAAGAAAGATTCCTTTCCTGAGCTACAGTGGGTCACGGTGACTGTCAGGGTTGAAAGATTGATGGCTTAATAAAGACCACCTGAAAAGGCAATTGACCAGCAAGAGAAAAAAATCATTGCTACCCACTTACTGCCCATAGGATCTCAGAGACCCACTATGAAAGCAGAGCTGCTTGGAACTATCCATACCAGACATCACAGGGCCCCCTTTTAGTTGTGAATAATCCTCCACCAACCACAGGATGCATCCCTTCGTTCATTGATAAACAGTACCATCTGCCCCGTTCCATGGCTGGATATGTAGAGATAAAGAGGACACAGTCCTGTTGCTCTCAGGAGCTCAAAATATCCTGGAGGTCATGACTACATTCAAGATTCCAAACAAGAGAAGTGTTCCATGTTATAAGACTGAATGTGTTTTAAAAATTCATTTTTATTATGGTATAGAGAATTAGAGCCCAGCATGCAGTAAATCCTCAATAAGTTATTCACTGAAGTATGTGTGTGGATCCATGGAGAAAGGGCCCAGAAGTGAAAATTAGGACCAATATTACAGCTACACATTTGCTTAAAACAACAACTACAACAAACGACAACTTTATGACTTCAGATAAGTCATTCTTTGCATCTTAGTTTGCCCATCTGTTGAAAAGCAGGTTAGGTTAAATTATCCTTGCAGATGTTTTTATATCAAAGGCTAGAATTTGTTGAAAAATCTGAAAATCCACAATCAAAACTCCCCTTCTTAAAATGCTGCTGAATGCCACAATGCATGTTTCATGGGACAGGCATTCTAGAGGGCCTAAGAAAGAAGACAGCTGCAGGCATGCAGTGCCCCTTGCCATTCTGATTGTGGAGCCACCACTTCTCCAGTACTCTTCAGATCCCCCTTTTTCAGGAGTTTAGTTGATGGGGGCTTGGCTGGGCAGGGTGCCATACAGCAGCCCAACAGTGGCAAGGTCAAGAATATGTGAGTTACCTTTGCCTTTTTCAGTGCCTGCCAGCATCGGTACACATGTTGGCCAGGAATATGGCTGCTGTAGAGCTTCCTCACGGCTTGAGCCAAATGGCTGGTACCCCAGTCCAGAATTCTGGCAAATGGAAGGCATGTTGCAGAAAGGAAAGGTGCTCTTTTCAATGACACCTCCTGAAAGAGGATTTGCTGAGTATTCTCATTCAGTACAGAGGGTTCCTGTTTGGGAGCTCCTAGCCTCGAAATTTCCTAAGGAAGACAAGCCCTGAGGCTGCAGTTTCTCTGCTTGTCACCAGCCCATTTGTTCTGGCTTTTTCTCCACAGGGCAATTATATAGCCTCCAGCGAGGATCTGTCCTCAGTCTCCTTCCAGTCTATTTTCTACGAAGGAACTTGAGTTATCTTTTTGGGGGGGAGAGAGAGAGAGAGAAAGGAAAACTCTTCCTGCTATGAGCCCTCCAAACACCCAGCATGCCTGCAAGTCCCTTCCCAATCCTTTCTTGTCACATTGTGTTGCTGTCCTTTCCATCACCAATTCCATCCACTTTTGATTTCTTAAATTTGCCATGATCCTTCTCACCTCAGGAGTTTTGCCTCATCTTTTCTTTCTGCTTAGGCTTCTCTTCTCTCTGCCCTTCCCTTCTTCCTCCTCTGATTATGTTCAGCTGCTCAGACAGTCCTTCCTTGCCATTTTACCTGAAGTGAAAGCCCTCACTCTTTTCTGGCCTGGCTTATTGTACACTGCAGCATGCAGATATTTTATTCGTGTTTCTTTGTGTTTGCCCCACCACTCCTACTAAACTATAAACAGTAAACTCCCAGGAGAGCAGAAGCCATTTCTATGTTATTTATGGTTGCCTGCCTCTACAGTGCCTACCTTAGTACCAGGCACATAGTAGGTGCTTGATAAATGTTTGCTAAATGACCCATCTGGTTGTGCTTACCTTCCTAAAACCAATCCCCACCCCATCCCACTTAGCCCTGCTACACCAGCGTGTTGGCAGTTCCCCTCACAGGCAGCATTCTTCCTATCCCCTGCTTCTGTGCCTCTGCCCAAAATCCCCTTCTTTCCTATGCTTTGCCTGAAAAAGTGAACTCATCCTTCAATGCAGCTCAAATATCATCTCCTTCTTGATGTGTATCCATCTCCTTTGTCCAAACAAAAAGCACCTGTTCCATGGTCTGCACATACCTGAACCACAACCCCCATCACTCTGCCTTGTGCTCGACTGTTTCTACATCTAGCTAAACTTTTTGGGAGTGAGGAATATATCTAATTCGTCTCTTATACTCACTTCTTAAAAGTGTTTGTCACATAGTAAGGGGTGGATGAATGTGGAGGAAATGCATGTTTGGTGAAATTTCCCTGTGTGGAGTCTTCCTCTCTGAGAAATCCCTATGTACATACCTCCTGTTTGAATATTCCCTCTTTGAAATTTTCTCTGGGCCTCCTGGGTTCAGGAAGATCATCTCTCTGAGTTTTGTCTTTTAGGGTGAGGCAGTCAGTTTGGTTTAGAAAGCAGAGTTTGCTATTACCTGCTTTAAAAAAAACCTTTAGCAATTAGCACAGATCCCCTGGTGGGTAGAGTAGCAAGGAGCCAATGTTCCCCAATACTTTGTTTATTGCTCTACCCAGTGGTAGGACTGGTTGTTAAGGATTCATTCATTCACTCTATCCATTATTCTCCTGCTATGTGTCAGGTATTGAGTTTGTGCTGTGGTCATAGAGATGAAATAAGTCCTGCTCCTGAAGTATTTATTGTGGGTAGGGGAGTGCTGATAGACAGACAGAATAGTGTGATCAATGCTCTGATGTGG